GTATTCTTAGTTAACTTCAGTTATCTAAGATGTAATTAACTATAGGGGTTTGCCCTTATAGGAAGCTTTTCCCGAACCCAGCATAATATAAACCCTATTTAATTCCTTATATTAAATAGGGGAATTTGTCGGCCAATATATTGGTTCCGCAGATCAAACGGATGTCATGACTTTCTCTAGTTTATTTGATCGAGCCTCACCCTTCAATTCTTGTATTCATCCTTTGGGATAGATACAGAATTTGAGGTAAAGTGCTCTTCCATTTAAACTATGAAAATTATGGGGTCAGTTTGACTTCATCTTTTTCAAAACTAAATTTTTTTTTAACGTCCTCCCGAAGCGGGCAACGGGATTTCAATTCTGATGACTGACAGCTTCTTACGGGCAAACCCCACACCAAAAATAGTGCCGACACACGCCCAACGCCCTATACTCTGCTTCAGTTGATTTGATGAACGAACTACAATTGGTTGTTTCTTGGAACTCCTTGAAATCATATTAGAACCTAAATAAACACAATAGCCTAAGTATGAGTTCTCCAAAGTCAGGAAGAAGCTATCATTGTGAGAGAGTCACTGGAGACGAAGAAGATTACTTGAGAGATGAAAAGAGAGGTGAAGAAAATGAAGAGGAATAACTTACCTTAGCTTCTCCTTGTGCAAGAAGATGAAATTTCTTGAGAAATCTCCTTGGAAGCTCCTCGAATGCTCACTCTCAAGCTTTCTTCTTCCCTCAGCTGCCCTAAGCAAAGTGACAACCTATCAACTCAAATGAGCTATTCCCTATGGGCTATTCAGCCATAGAGGGTTTATCCAATGGTTTAAGGCCGCTTTCCCAGTTTTTAATGATTCCAAAATATCTCATATGCCTTATTTGGGTAAAGAACTAGACAAAAGGGGAAGGACCAGTGGTCATGGATGCCTTGACGGTGGGAATCTGAGGATCGGAGGGTCATTTTTCACAAACTGGTCCGGACGTCGTGCTCAATCGTGGTTACACCACTGTTTAAAGTGTCGCAGATGGAGGCCAGATGTGACCACGCTTGAGGCCCGTCGTAATTGGGCTGGGCGCTTTATCTAGTAGCATATCCACGCTAGTTCCAGACTTTGTAACGCCGTTCGAAGAACTCGGGCGCCTGCTAAGGTTTAAGAGCAGTCACGCCTACATTGTAGTGTAATTATGTCGTAGCCTCTATTTGGCCAACATGGTCACGCCAGCTTTGGGGGTGGTCACGCCGACCACACCGCTTTTTGTGTTGTTTGGGGTCATCTTGGAGTGGCCACGCCTGGTTTAGGCGTGGTCACGCCAGACCTTAGAAAGTTTGGTCTTCTAGAGAAGCACGCCTAGGGGATTCCAGACCTCATAGGACCTCCAAAAGATCGAATGTGAGCATATAATGATTTTTGGAACTTCGTTGGGACTGTAAATGTGTCTCAAAAGAGTTACGATCCAAACACTGTGTGGGGTACTTTGGTCGAGCTGTGCCACAAGAATATCCATATCAGCAGGATACGATCCTTTATCATAGGAACGAATGTCAACCTTAAGGGTACCATAGGCAACGCCGGCTAGGCCATGATCGACTCGGGGGACAACTATGGTTGAGGTGAAGGACATATTGTAGAACAGATGAGTACATGATTGAGAAGATTGCAACAGTTAAGTTTTGGTCCATTAATTTCCATAGCTAATAATCCTGATTATCAACTTGTGTAATGGTGGAATCTTGGTGAGATTTTGGAGAGCATGGTACGGTGGGATCTAAGTAGGACTCAAATCCATTTGCAAGAAAAAGTTCCCCGATTTGTACCTTCTATATGACATAATTTGCCATGTTCTTGATGTTTGAAGGCAGATGTAATGTTGATTTCCTTTACCTTGTTTAGGGTGCATGTGGGCTGCTAGGAAACATGTGGAGAGATTGGGGATGAGAAATCTATGGATCATGATGCTTTGAAGATTGGGCTCTAATACCATAAAAAAAAATCAAATTGTGTATGTGTTAGATATGTAATTACAAAGGACTTGGGTGGTATGTATGTAAATGCCACTTATTTTAATGACATATTAAACATGTTTTAAACTTTAAAGAAATTACACGACAAATATTAAATTAACAATTTTTCGTAAAAATGATTTTACAAACTTACAGAATTAGATCGTTGGGATTGTTACATGGAAAAACTGATTTTTATGTTTCAAATCATAATCAAGACCAAAGAAAAATCAAATTGTATAATTTATTTCAAAATTGGGGATATAATCTGCGAATTAATATAATTTTTTCCATTCAAGTTATGTTATATAAATTGAGTGTTCAAATTTTCTCCATTGATTGATTCCTCTTCGTCATCTTGCTATCTGCGCGCAATGTCGATCGGCAATCTCAGGTGCGTCGTTATCGCCGTCGATCAGAGTGAGGAGAGCATGAACGCTCTCCGATGGGCCCTGCAAAATGTTCACCTCCGATCACCGGCGGACGGCGATTCCTCGGATAAGCCCGGTGGCTTCGTCCTCCTCCACGTCCAATCTCCGCCCTCTATCGCCGTCGGTCTAAACCCCGGCGCTATTCCCTTCGGCGGACCAAGTAAAGAGATCGTTAACTTGGATCTGTTACCTTCATTTACCCTCTCTTTTTTTATGCTTTTCTTGGGATCCATGTGCCCTTTTTCCTTAAACTAATTTCGGCGCTGCTTGCTGTTTTATCCGGTTCAATTGGATTGATGCAGCGCACGTCGAGGTTCCGGCTATCACCACTGCTATTGAAGCCCACCAACGGCGGATCACTGAAGCGGTGTTGGGCCACGCAGTGCAGATCTGCGAGGAGAAAAATGTGAGATTCGACCACGGTTCTTGTTATATCTATCTAATGATAGTATATGGAATCGAATAAATACTCAGAAGGAAGTTTAGGGGCTGTTTGGCAAGTAAGATTTAGTATGAATTTTTATTTAAAATTTGAGACGGTTTAATCCTAAATCTTCTTGGCATTATGGCGATTAAATTCTGGCAAACTTATTGGCTATTTATTTTAGGATTTAAGTTTGTTAAGAATTCTTGATGATGAAATTGAGAAATGTTACATCAAAGAAAAAAAAAAAAATAGTTGAACCCCAACCTTATTTCATTGCCTAAAATTGTGAGTAGATGATCAAGTTGTGTGGCATTTTTGGTTCGTTGCTGACAATGAAAATAATGGTTAAGTTATAGATCAAAGATAAAATTATTTCAAGATAAATGAGGTTAACATCATATGAGTGCATCCAACATGTTGGTGATAGTTTCATGTCTCACAATATCTTTTTGAATCATCTCCCCAATTGGCATGCATATTAAGAGTTTCATCATCAACTACTAACTCACCTAACACGCCACCATGTTATATTTTAGTTTGAGGCATGATAAAATATAGTTCATACATGTGATAGTGACCAATATAATTATGCAACACTCCACATATAATCATAATGTCAGTCTGGGAAAATTATTGCATGAATTAGCACCTGGAACATCTCTTTCTAAATACCAAAAGTTATTTCTGCTATTTTACGTAGTTGGGCTTGATGATGGTTGCACAACTACTAGACTACTTAGTATTTAGGAGATGCATCTCTATGATACTCTTTTAAATAATATCAATATGGCATGAGAGGTGGCATAAAATTGTCAATTTTAGTATTGCTTGATCAACCAAGTAGTATTTTTTGTGCTACTCTTAACACTCCATTCTCCAATGATTACTGTAGCACCATCATATTTGCCATGGACCCCTCCCAACTACAGGCTACATCAAAAAATTGACGATCAGATGAGACAACCATTACATTATGAAAAGTGAATGCCTTTCTGTTATAGTGTCTATTTTTCTACTCTATACTAGTAATAGTTGCTTGTACATAAGTGTCATCAATTGCTACAGTTCTATTACTAAGAAATGGAAAAGAATATGAATTTGCTCGTACAAAAAAAAAAATCTTAATTTATTAGAATTGAATGAAAATATGAAACTAAATAGGACACAATGGAGAAAAAAGCTTCATGTAGTCGACCCCACTTAGTGGGCTAAAGGTTTTGTTGTTGTATGGATGGTGGTCAGCTTCAATCAAGGCATGATACAAACTTACAGTACATGATCAAAGTGCCAGTTTACTTTTTCAAAGTAATGATAAAAAAATCACACAATCATTAATAACTATGGGCATATACAATCCTTTTAAGAAATATCTCAAGTTGTTCAGCTACGACAGTATTTTTAGTGTCGCATATCAAGCTGCAACTAACTAAAATGTACCACTGCTGCACAAAATGGATCAGATGATTGCTTGAAACAGTTGTTAGAGCACAGTGGATGACCAACCAATACATCTAGTGCATATTGATGGCTAGTATACGATCTATTGAACATAGGCTTGTGAATGAACATCTCTTCATTTGAGAGAATAGTGTCCTCCATAACTGAAAGAATTAGTTTATTGATCACATTGTTAACTTGTTGGAATGACTTGTTGGAATGACATAAGAAATGACATAAGATGCATATCTGATTAGAATTTATTGTGATCCTTTTTCTTAAATCTTCTTTTGGTAGATGGGTTTCTGCAGTTTCATCTCTAGGTTTTCATTCTTGGATTTGATGTAGGTTGAGTTGGTGGGATGATTTGTTATATCTCATTAATGATGTTGAAACCGCGAGAAAACATGAAATCATCGACAATAGACATGACTTCTTCCGCATCAGCCATGTCATTTGTAATTTTGCTCCTAGGCTCATAACGTTATGTTGAACAAGCTTGTTTAACAATCACAATGTTATCAGTGCAAAATTTTTAAATTTGTTGTATTGGTGTAATAAGTTCCTGTAAAAGCTCATCATTTTTTGTACTTTTACAAGAACATAATATGCCATATGAAAATAACCGCTTATTTATTTTTTTGTTTTTAGGGATGTGCAACTCTACAAAACTAGGCTGGGTAGCACAAATTTGCCTTATATTAGTTCTTCACAGATTTTACCACTTGCGATAAGGATGTGCAAATTTTTGTCTTAGTCTCATCCACTTTCATCAGATAATTGATACAATTTTTGAAATCAGCATTCATATTATTGAACTTTGTCATGATAACTAGTTTTTTATATATTATCCCCAATCTTTGATTCAATGTGCTGATTGCCCCACACCATGCATCTTTCTTCAGGACATCGTGTACCATGTTCTCCACAAATAATTCCCCCAAAAAACATGTTTCTTAGGCCATTTGAAAGTTCTGCATTGGCTTTTTGCTTGGCCGATATGGATCAATAAGTCCTTCTCCAAATAAATTTGTAAACTGAATTTACCACGTTGTACCAACTTTCCTTTCAAGAATCTCTCTTTATCTCTATTGTTGATAATCTACAAGTTCTCAACTCACAAAATAATTGTAATCATACATGAACTACTTCTAATGTTTTCAAGCACTAATGTCTAATTAATGCAACGATGAACTATCCCGCGCTTCATCAAGAGAATGCCTAACATTGTACATTTAAGGAGCAATTAAAATGTTATAACATTTCTCTTGTTGAAAATCTTAATATTATGTTTAGTTGATCCATGTGGTAGATAATTGACATTTGTTGATTTTGGATTAGTCACATACTTTGCACCCCTCTCTCCATGTGAATGTCTAGAAGTTTGTTGTGTTCGTTCATTCACCCTCACCAAATATTTGAAATTATTTTTTTTCTTACTTCAGGCGGCAATTGCTTTTGTCAAACAATTCAATTGACTTTCCTAGGTGGAATTAAAGCGTCTGAGCTTGCAAGAACTTTTGGATTACACATTTTTAATCTCCAATTTTATGGCTTACATTATCTTTATCATTGCTTCTGAAACAATTATTTTTTTTATGTGTAAAACTTCTTAAATGCACAATCTAATATATCAGATTTTTCTCATGGAAAAAAAAAAGAACTATGAGCTTTTCTAAATATGGTTTATTCCAATTTCATCGAATATTTATTATTGATCTTCAAGTTCGCCCTCAACAATGAACATTTTTGAAACACTACTCTACTGAAATAAATTAAATGACATGCTTGAAAGATGAATAAATGATCAATGAACAAAATGAATTAAAAATATTATTAAATCGCCATGGATCATGTTTCAGGAAAATGTGAATCTTCACACATTCACAATCAACACCCTAAACCACCAAACCAGCGAATAAAGCTTCAAAATATTGTAGATACCTTGCGCGTCCTTAAGTTAGAAGGAAGAACCGACCAAGAAAGAGTCGGCACTCGAAGAGGAAGGAAATTAGTTACTAGATGGTTCTCGTGGGATTTCTTCGATCGATGAAGATGTGGGTTGTGGCCCTGTGGGTGAGGTCTCAAGTAATGAGAAAAGAGTTTGAGTTTAGGTGAGGGCTTCTATTCACTTATCTATGACAAAGAAACCTTATGAGAACTGAGAAGTGGCGGTGTGTTAACGCGAAGACAGCAAAGGTGATACTGATGGTATGCAACCAAGAAGAGGAAAAAGCTGAGATTGGCAGGTGTGAAGGAGAATAGGATGAAGGTAAGACCGGCAGGGTACAAAGGCAATGGACAAACACAAGGTTGGGATATGGATCGCTCTAATGGCCTCCAAGACATAGGGAGAAGAAGGAAGATTGTGACAAAGTTTCTAGCTTTGTTATTCAGAATTTGCACAAATCTTGTTAAAATCGCTGAACTGCCAATTTAATAAATCTCAGACTTGCATGTGAACAAGGTGAAAGAGGATTTAAAAATTCTTAGGATTAATTTGTACATTTTGATCATTTGGCAGGATTTATGCTAAATCCTTTGTAAATTTCTGTAAAATTCTGCTACCAAAAAATCCCTTAAGTTCTATATTCCAATAACCATCTTAAATTGAGGAATTTATCTACCTATTTCATATGTATTAATCCTCTTTGATTATTAGACTGTCTGGTATCTATTTTTTGCCTTTAATTTGAGTGGCAGCATGTTTGCACATTACATGCACTGGCAGAAAATTTTAAAAAATGAAACAAAAGCTGAGCTAGAATAGTTAAGTGCACATTTAAGAAAGGAGGATTAGTCCTGCAGACCATAAGAAGGCAATGATATATCTGTTAAGCTACATATTCAATTTAGTTGAGCCTTATGTAACTTTAATTATATAACTCCTGTAAAATGGATAGTGCCTTACTCCAACGCTCTCCCATGATTTGCATGAAATTTTATGTATATGAGGAAGTTGAAGTTGTCATCATACCTAAAGAGCTTATTGATATTGGAAAGCCAGGATTTATGTAAAATTTAGCTTAAATTTTTCAAAATAGAAAGCCATGTTGGCTTTAAATCCAACTGTTAAAAGTTCTTGTTTTGGCCATTTCATTGATTAGATCTAGGATTTGTTAATCAACATTCACTAGATTCAGCTGATTTGATTTTCACACGGTTCTTAAATCTTGAAATAAATAGCCAAATAATTTAGCAGTATTCAGCAAATTTTAGTAGTTGTAATACCAAATAATTTTCAGATTTTAATTCTCTCAAAATTTAATAAATTTGTATTTATATGATTTATTAAATACTACTAGAGTTGAATTTCTGGGGCTTTTACATACATACCACACAATTCTTATGTATTTACACAACTAACACCCAAACTTTAATATTTACGTGCTTAGAACTCAAATCATTAACGTCACATAAAAAATACAACTATTACATACTTTTTAAAAATGCAAAACACATTTTCATGTATAAGTTTATCACACCAAAGTGTTATAAATGTAAATATGAAAGTTTGTGTTAGATATGTAAATGCACAATTGTGTGGTTTGTATGCAAACTTTCCTAAATTTATTTGGTTGCTAAACAATACAAATACCATTTTGTGTAAGTGAGTTTATGTGGTTTATCACATTGATAACATATTCCTGGTCGACGATGTTTGGAACTAAATGATGCTCGAGACATCTTGAGTATATGATAAAAATAAATGAATTATTTATGGCACGGCCTCGTTGTTGGGATCATGATATACAACATATTTGAGTATGTCAAGAACAAGGAACTAGAAACAAAGAGAGGAGTTTTTTTCATTTCATTCATTGTTTCCAAATAAAGAGAATTTATAGACGTACATGCCTCCTAAGGTCTCATCAATTACCTATTAAGCACTAAGGCAACGTAAGCTATGCATTTATAGAAATACATGACTTCTAAGGTATTTATAGAAGAAGGTATACGCAGGGTGAAAAAAGAAACAAACAAAATTACAACAAAATTTTATTTGCTGAATAAAAATTTTATCGTGGTAAAAGATATTCAGTTTCTTCTAAGTTTAAGAAATAGTGGGTATCAATGTTTGTGCTGTGTTTTTACTTGTGATAAATAGTGCAGGTGGCTGTGAATACTAAAGTGGTGGTAGGTGAGCCAAAGGAGAAGATATGCGAGGCTGTTGCTAACTTGAGTGCCGATTTGCTGGTGATGGGATGCCGCGCTTTTGGCCCAATTAAAAGGTAAGATTTTAGAGCTTGTAATTATTGATTTTAGTTTTTATTATTTTTCATTCCATCTCTTTCTATGCTTTTTGAATCATCTTTCTTGGAATTAATCATCATTTTAAAGCCCTAAGAAATTTCAGCGAGCTAGACTTTTCCAAGAACTTCATCATTTTGTTTGCTATTTTTTTGAGTATTCTTGTGTTGTGGATTATTTTTTTCTTTAGGAAGATTGACATACATGCCACTCAATTCCTATGCGTTTACATATCTAACACCTAACCTTCAATTGCTACATATTTGCCACCTTATTTATGCATGAAAATTAAAAGTTAAAATAGTGGTTTTTTTTTATATGAAAGATTTGAGTGCTGTAAATGTAAAATGCAATTTTTAGGATATGTAAATGTGTAAGAATTGAGAAGTATGTATGTAAATGTCCCTTTTTCTTAATTCAAGGGATAATTTAATCATAACTAACATGGAGTGATGGATCATTGACACTTTTGAGAGACTGGAGCCTATATGGAGACGTGAACTGTTATCGATATGTTGTTCACGAAGTTTATCAGAGCATAATAGAGATACATTTTTTTTCTTTAGCAGAATGTTGTTTTTTCATTACTTAGCTTTAGAGAGACTTAGTTTCAAGGTGAAGGAACAAGCAATAAGGTGTAAGAAACAAGCGAATAACTTAAATAATTGGAGAATGTGACAAATATCTTACAGTTCAGTCCATAGCAACTGGTTTGGAGCTTTATTTAACTAGGGGTGACACATATCTACTACAGAGCAGAAACTATATAATGCACTTGTTTACCGATGCACTGATCATCTACTTCAATGTAATAAATCCATTACTTTTTGAGCTCGGAGAGAGATTGTACCATGAGGAAGTAAGCTGGCGAACTTTAAAATAATAAACTTGGCTGTTTAACGAAACCTAGTGTTTAAGATTGATTGTGTTAGTCATCCTAGCTAGCCTGGTTTCCAGGATACTTTGTGCCGTACAATAAGCTTGCTCCGCTATAATATACATTTAAGGTGCAATAATGATAATGGATATCAAGGATTGATACTCTAAACCAAAAATCCCATCTTTTTAACAAATGAAAGCAAAAATAGATCATCTTATATTCTGATTAAGCAATATTTTATATTAAAAACTTTATCGGAAAAAGTTCCATTTATCACAACATTATGCAGCAAATGAAAGGCAACAGTGAATTGAAACTATTTATACATTTGTTGAAACAAGATGTAGCTAAGGATCTTCAACCAATAAATTCTGAAGATTAGCAAAATAAGACTTCCATAAAATTTTATTTACATGTATAATCCAAAAATAAGAAAAAATATTTCACTGTCTATAAAAAGAAAATAACCCTCTATTCCATTATTAGTTATGATTTTCTACAGCTGCTGATTATGTTGAAGCTCGAGTATGCAGTTTACTTTGTTCCTTCGAGTACTATGAGAGATATTTGTATATTTATATCATATAAGGATACATAATCGTTTAACACGTTTCAGCTGTTTTTTACGACATTAAATGCCTCTTTGAAACTTCCATTATTTCTGACACTTTAATCCAACCTACATAACTAACACCTAAACTTTTATATTTACATTTATAACACTTTAATGTGATAAGCCTATGCATGAATAGGCATATTTTGCCTTTTAAAAGTAAGTAAAAGTTGTATTTTTGATGTGATATTAATGATTTGAGTGCTATGCCTATAAATATGAAAAATCAGGTGTTAGATATGTAAATATATGAGAATTGTCTGGTATCTATGCATATGCCCTTATTATAAAATATCAATTGCATCATAGAAGAACATTTGAGTCAAGCAATTTAATTCATTTAAAAATTCTGCAGGTTCTTCCTAGGAAGTGTTAGCAACTACTGCATCAATAATGCAAGCTGCCCAATTGTTGTGATAAAGGACACCTCTTAACAACTTCTTCATGGCACCAATCTCTTACCTTAGTTGTTTTTCAACCCCCCGCACTCGTAAAAAAAAAAAAAAAAAAAAAAAAAAAAAAAAAAAAAAAAAAAAAAAATGGAGAACCAAAAAAACTCCTAACTTTGTTCTTCATACCAAGTTCTGAGAGCTGAACCTTGTGGTTTTGCTGTGCCGTGTAATTATGTTATTCTTTCTTTTTCCCGCTGGTTGTATTCTATCCTATGTTGTTTATAATAATGTGTATAAACGTGTGTGTGTGTGTTCATGATTTAATATTAAATCATCCTTTTTTAGGAATTTTCAAAATATTTGTAGGGTTTAAAATATATAGTTAATTTTAACTGCATTGAATCCAATTAATTCATTAATTTATTTTTTGACCATCAAGAAACCAAATCAGCTGCAATAGTTAGGTTGTGATACTTTGGTTATCAATGGCTTGGTCCTATTGTTTGTTGGTGCTACTACTATCCATGAGATATAAGAAATCATGATTATATGAATTGTGCTTAAGCTTATGCTTTCTTGATGGTTAAGAAATAAGTGCCATTTATGACCATGCAAAAGTGAAAATAGGCATGACTAACTTGAGTTGTGCCATGCCTCAACAAAATTTTGAACTGCTGGAGTTATGTTTTATTCGGCATTTCACTTTAAATAAAAACATCAAATTGTTATGAGTATTAATTATAGCTTGACTACTTTGCTATGAGGCTTGTCATGTTTGACAATTTAGTAGAACAGAGGTGAAATTTTGAAAGGAATCAGCTTAATGTGAGAATGAGCAAATGCCCGCCCTCAGATTTATACTTCTGCCCACTTCTCACTAAAAATCGCTCAGCTTTATATATTTCTGAATTTTTACATTTTTTGCCTTTTTATATTTTTAAATTATAAATTTAATGATATTGTCGTTAAATGGTGTTTGTGGGCAACATTATAAAAACAGTTATAATGCATTATATTTTTGCCATTTTGTTTGAATGTGTTGATTTGTAAGAACAAGGAATTCTATGTATCTTGGATCAACCCCCTTTTCTAATAATGAATGGTGAAAAGTTTCTTTTTTTAGGGTCTGTTTAGGGCAGCTTATAAGTGCGGACGACGTTTTCAAAACGCCGCAGTACCGTTTGGTTCGCGCGTTTTGTCAGCTTATCTGAAACTGTGTTTGGGTTTTTACATTAAACGCAGGCTGCGGGTAACCCCTACGGCAGGCCCGCGGGCCGATCGTAGGGCAGCTTGTGAGTTTCAGGATAAATAGCTTATCCTAAAATGCACAAGCTGCCCAAACGGACCCTTAGTCGTTCGGCGTTTCCTCAGGCATTTCATCTATATTTCTTTGGAAAATAGAATGATCCTCGATTCCTAGCTTAAAAAATTATAGGGCATTTACATTCATACCAATCAATTCTTATATATTTACATATCAAACACAAACTTTAATTTTTCTTTTACGCTGCTCAAATATTTCATATCACATAAAAAAAATATTATTGTTATAATTTTTTTTAAAAGTGAATATGTAAAAATTGAGGTTTAGTTGTTAAATATGTAAATACATAGGAATTAAGTGGTTTTTAAAACTTCCTAAAATTTTTCATTATTGGCAGTTGATGTGATGGTCTACATTTTGTTATATTTTGTAATATTTATGTATAGAGAAACGAACCCCTGAAATAGGTCACAAGTGTACCAAAATATTCAACCATAATCAACTAGCAAACTAGCCCTTATTAGGGATGCAAGTGTGTCAAAGGCAGGAAACAACTCAAGTTGGACTCGTACTGAGATTGACGTGCTAATAAGTTAAATTTTAGTTCAACAAGCTTATGAGTCGTTTAAAAAGTATTAATATAAATATAGTTAAGAAATAAAATTAAAAATGTCATATTCATATATTTTTATTTCGATTCATTTCTTATTATTTCTCTAACATCATTAGAACGACCACTTGGATTACAATTATCATTTACCTTTAATAATAAATTGAGCTAAATGTCATATCCCAAAAGAGCACTTAAGAGAGGTGGGCAGCCGATGACTTAAATACTGCTTTTCGACCCTACACCTAGCCGATGTGAGACTATTTGTCTGTGACATTCTCCTCCACCCAATCATGTGACGCCCTCGTCACGGATCGGCTTCACCGAGGGTCCCAGTTGACCATGGAGAGTCTACACACCTAACATACAGTAATCTTCTCTGATATCAATTGTCACCTCCCAAAAGAGCCCTTAAGAGAGGTGGGCAGTCCAAGACTTAAATACTGCTTTTCGGTTCTACATCTAGCCGATGTGGGATTATTTGTCCGTGACATAAAGCTCAAAAAATGAACTCAATTAATTAATCAAATATCAGTTGATGGTGGCTCAAGCTCAACTTCTCATTCACCTTGAGAATGAAAGAGCGTTTTGCATCTCAAACCAAATAATAAACAGAAATTACATTTCTAATAATTTTTTCAATCATCCATTTAGATGAAATGCAGAACAATTAAAATAATTGATCTTGTAATCCTTCTATTTCTTCCCCCCATTTCAATCTTCCCAAATAAAAACAGCTTATGCTTCTCTATACTTTTTTTAAAAAAATTATTTTTTTTTTGTTTTGAAGAGTTATTTTACTATCACAATTTGATGGCTTGGTGATTGGGTAAATGTTCCAGGTTCAAAACTCACAAACCTCCCTAAAAAATGTACAACGTCTCTTGGTTGGTAGGCTGGACACATTAAAAGATTATTACATATTTGAAGGAGCTGTATACATGCTCCAGGCGAAAACAAACTATATAACATTGCAGAAACAAACACAAGAAAATACGCCTTGCAAGGAAGGCAACAATGCAGTCCAGGCAAGTAGCAAGTAGTCTTCACATACGAATACAAGCTATTAGGGGTGTAAGTGGGCCAAGCCAGCTTAATGTCACGCCCTGTTAAAGAGCTAACTCATTTTCTTTTATTAAATGAGCTTGAGTTTAAGTTTGTTTAGGTTTTGTTCTTAGGCTCACGAGCCGCCTCGACCGGTCAATTGATGGTCACATCGAAACCTTCTCTAACGAGACGTCACAACACTTCAATTCTTGGTTGGTAGGCTGGACTTGCCGACTCCATCCAGCCAGCCATATGAAAATGACCATCTTCTCGCATAAGCGTAGGAAGCATTCACCCAAGTATCCCTCCACATGTACCTCTCTAATTTCTTGATTTCAATATCCACATGCTTGTAACTATCAAATCACACACACACACACACACACGTGCGTGGACACACACACACAAATTTATATATTAATATGTTAAAAAAAAATCTTAATCATTCACGAATCTCAATGCACACTAGGACTGAAGCTCTAAATATTTAATTATATATACTCCAATTCAAATGAAGTGTCTTGATAAGATGAGCTAATTGACATCAAACATAGCTTGACCTGAGTCCAAGTGAGTCCAGATCATGCACTTAAACAAGAATATTTGCGGCGTATTTTGGGAACCAAATGATCTGTAAAGATGATAAATTTATAGTTAAATCAAACGTCTCAACGAGACGTTCCAATGAGCCATAGCCACCACTGCATCTAGTCGTTTCTGTGACCGTCAGGACACCATCACTGGACCATCGTTGCCCTGTTGTCATTGTTGGCAGACCATATCCGTCTGCTGCCATTGTCAAACTACAAGTGCTTGGCCATAACTGTCTCAACACCAAACTACCACAGCCCAACCACCATCGACACCGAGCCATCGCCTACACCGTCATTGGGTCTCTTATGTCACAGTTAGACCTCCATCGCGAACCACTGGTGTTGGGCTACTGCCTCAGTAGGAAAACTATCACGTGCTCGACGTTGAGCCACCGCTAATGTGCTAGACCCCTGATGTTGAGCACAGTTATCGTGCTAGATAGTTGTCATTGGAATGTTGTTGCCACCTTCAAACCGTCATCTCTTGGCCATCACCACTGTGTTGGACCACTTTGGCTGGGCTGTTGTAGCCATTGGACCACCAATTCCTGGCCGACGTTGTGACTCCACGACAGTCAGGCCGCCATCACCGTAACAATAACAACATCGACGGATTATCATCTCTCAGCCACTGCTACGCCGAGCCACTATCACCGAGTCATTGCCGCTATTGTGGCATACAATTGCTACCGCCAAATCATCGTCTTTCGAGCATCACTGCCGCCACATCATATCAAATTCATCACTGTCGCACCACCGACTCTTGGAGGACACTGTTAGTATCACTGGATCACCATTGTTCCCCGCCACCATCATGTGGCCACCACCATCAATAACAATGAATCTAGATCTCCATCATACAACTCCTACCATCGGTTTTCTATTATCGTAGTCAGGTCGCCATCATTTCTTCAATATTTTATCCAATTCATGTAACATTATTTTCTGATATTCAAGGGCAGACAAAGTCATGTAACATACATCCAAATGGTGAAACTATTTTAACTGGGTCGGACCCTGTGATTTTTTCCATTTCGGGTTTTCTCCACGTAAAAACCTCTGATTTCCCCTATATCAGCTCTTCTTTTATATGTACATGTGTTGGGTTTTTGTACAGTGCTAAGAAGCTAATATAACTCACCCAATGTGAATTCACCGACACACAACATATTGATATATTTTTCTTGTAAGGCTTTTCTTAATACACCAAAACTCTATAAATAAGGAGTCAAAGGTAACATTTATGTACATGTATAATATCATGTGCTTTGAATGTGATCAATAGAAACTCCAATTTTCTTTCATAAGATTTTCTCTCTCTAATTTTGTTCTCCTTATTGCTTCGACCTCTTTGATCTTTTTAGTAGGGTTTGGATGTCATCCACAAACAAATCTGAATCTAACATAATGGACATTAGCTCTACTTGACCATATAGGGAAGACACATTAAAAGATAATAAAAGATTTTTTATACTAGCCAGCAAAATAAAGGTACTTAAGAATTGCAAAACATTAACCGTTCAGCCATCAAACATTTCAACCAAAACTGAAAAACGCGATGACAATAACGATCAGAATCAATTTATCATCTCATCTTCCATCCAGAAACCTCGGTCGAGATCACAATGATAACAATCAAACCAAATATATCTGTTAGTGTAAATAAAAGAATTGTTCAAACAATGGAAGCCAATGCAAGTTACATTTCAAACAATGCAATCGGTTAATTACATCTAGGGTTTCCTCGCAGTTCCTAGATCGCACCATGCGGCAATAACTATTTCTTAATCGGGAAGAGAAGAAAACTTACAAGAACTCGAATTCGTCTTCCCTAAGATGCGCGAAGAACTTGATCGGCTTCTCGTGCCCATGGACAGGCCATATGAACTCGATCTTGAAGGGGAGAGTGGCAGATATACGTTTGCCCTTGTACAAACCAACATACTGCTTGATCACCCCCTCCATCCCTTGCAATTCAACCCCCGGTGCCTTCGCAACGTGGCAGACCTTGACCGGCGCCTTGACGCGGATTCTTACCCCAATCTTCCCAGCGGCTACCATGGCCTCCGGAGATAAATCGGCGGTCAGCGTGGGCTTGTATGAGAGGGATCTCTTGATCCCCGGCGGCGGCGGCGGAGGTAAAAAAGATCGCGGCAGAGCCGTCGCCGGGAGATAAAGGGATCGCGGCCGCCGGAAGATCGAGGCGGCATGAGCTGAAGATGATGGGGAGCTCGACGCGATCGGCATTGTGATTGATTTCACTCACTATCTCTGTTCAATCTACTTCTCCTCCTTCAGTTTGACTCGGCGTTTAAGGGTCTGGCAGATGCAGAATTCATGTTCTACTACTAAACAGCTGTTTCTGATAATCTGTTATGAACAGCTCATCTGAATAAGTTATTTGGCTGTTTGGTTTGTGCGTATGAAAAACAACTTTTTCTGAAAAAATGACTATTTTGCCCCTGTTCTGAATAAATTGTTTAGCTGTTTGGTTTGTGCTTTTTGTAAACAACGTATTTTCAATTTTTTTTGGTTAAATTAATAATCTTTGTAGCAGAATTTATTATTTTCTCAAATGTCACAATATGAAAATGCAAAAAAATTAAATAACATTTATATAACTCAAAAAGTTTTGATTACATCAAATAAGCACAAAGACATATACAAAAGTGAAGTATACATTAACATACTAATATGAATTATAATATGACGCAAAAAAAAGAAAAAAAATAATATGTTAAAATTACAAGAAAACATATGACAATATTGACTTTAAAATGTAAAAGCACATCACGACGAATGTTGCCTAGTTCTGATAGCTCAAAATCCTGAGCAAACATGTCCGACTGAGATATCATAGAAACAGAAAAACTCGAACCACATGCGGTGGTCTTCCGTTGTGATACTATCGAACTCCTAGCAGTTTTGTCTAATTGAGATATCGTAGAAACATTTGCACTGTCGGTCCACCTGAAGAATTTACAGTCTTCCGGTCCTTGTCCCCACCGCGGGCACCTGTAGAATTGCCGCTTGTAGCTATGTGTCTGTCGTGACGTGAGTAACAATGATGGTAGCCCACATCGACACATCACTTGCCTTGACTTCTCTGAATACCTCGAGCTCATTGCCCTACAATTATTATAAAAGTAAGAATATCAGTAAAAAACTATAAGGGAACAAAAAAAACTCATTGTCCTGCAATTAACACCTAAACAACAATGAACAAGATGGCTACACACCAATTAATTTATTATAAACAAAAATTACAATTACTAGAAACTCCCCATAAAATATGTTCTATTACAAATAAAAAAATAAACAAAATAAAATGATAATGAAAAAAAAAAACAAAAAAACAAAAAAACAAAACTGAAACCATGCAGCTTGATCATGTGTGTTGACCCTCCAAATCTGAAGTTATTAATGTGTACTTTCAAAATGCCCTCATTTTGCATTCATGCTACTGCACAGAACACTGAATAAAAGTTATTAATGTGAATATAATGCTGTTTTAACTAAACATTCATAGCAAACAGCCAAAAGACTGATTATAATCATCTTCCCAAACCAGACTTCTATATCTTATATGATCACATAGCTCACAAATTGCCATTAAAGTGTCACGTTCAACATAAATACAGACATAACGAAATAAAAACCACAGACATAACTAACAGGTAAAGAGGCATTTACATAACGAATGGTTTCTGCATATAGAAATCTGGTTTCTGCATATGCGAATGGTCTCTGCATACATAAAAACTTCCCAGGATACCAGACTTCCAGATAAATAAATTAGGCATATGTTTTGTAAATTGAAATATGAAACCCAAGCATCTCCCTAGCTGCTTAATCACCCAACATGTGTAACATTTCTACTAACAGAATAAAGAGCACCCCATGTTTGCAAGCAATGCATCATGCCACAAATATATATCCAAGCCACTGAACTGAAAGGAAATAAAAATGCTCAGGGTACATTTGTATGCCCAAGCCAATTTTCGAAATATACAGGCAGTGCCACATAGATGCTGAATCCACATTTGTATGCCCAAGCCACAAATACTTATCCAAGCTGCGTTCTCACCACAAATATATATCCAGGCAGTGCCTTTACACAAATGGATGCATATATGGAGAGGGGGAGAGAAAGATTGACATACATAGCACTCAATTCATATGTATTTACACATCTAACACCTACTTTTCTAGAAACATGGATAAAAATAATAATAAACTTCTCCCTTATTAAAGTTAATGACATAACAGCCATATAATAACTCAAACAAATGACGTAGCAATCAAAATAGTGCATACATATGACACAAATAAATGACATAGCAACCATATAATAACATAATTATTTTGCAAAGCTTTAGAATACATTAATTAACATTTTCGCTAATCTCATCAGCAATTCCATCTCTCAAAGCTGCCATTTCAGATGCCCCTTCACCATCTCTTGTGTTTGTCTCAGGTGAATCAATTGCAAGTTGTGGTATGGTGCAACCCACATGATACTCGAATGCTTCAGGGGGCATTTGTATTAAGTACGCATCAACCACGACAAATTCTGCATCAGATCTTGAAGGATGCCGTCTAATGAAGTTGTGCAATGTCATGGTAGCCACTACAATCTGAACCTATTTCGAAAACGGATAAGTGGGCATATCACGCAATATTACCCATTTCTTCTTCCATACTTTGAACGATCGTTCAATTACGCCTCGCAATGATGAATGCCTTTTATTGAATATTTTTTTTTTCCCGCGTGCTACACCACTATACCTTTCAAAATCTGGGATGTGATACTTTGTATCTGGATACGACTTAAGAAACCCTCTTTGTAAGGGATATCCGACGTCGACTAAGTAGTACTTACCTGTTGCGTGATGTTAGTTATAAATGGAAATTGAGCACAAAAGTAATGTCCCAAATATACGTACCAAGATGAGGGTAAGGGAACACATATTCTCGGTTCCTAGTAGCAAACTTGAAAACACGGCTATTGTGTGTGCTACCTTCCCATCCAGCTATCACGAAAGTAAAACACATATTGAAATCAACACGACCATGATATTTTGTGTTGGGGATCCACACCGTCCGATGTAAGCGACTTTCTTTGCAGGAGACAAGCATGCATCGATGTGTGTTCTGTCAATAGCTCCAATACAGTCCTGTGGAGCATAAAGTACCCATAAACCATTCAAAATTAATATATACTTTTTATTTATAATGAATATTATGTTGGGTACCTACCTTGAAAAAGGGCATGTATCGAGGGTCATTTGCAATTTGTGTTGGAATGGTCTGAAACGTTGGATCATCTGACTTTATTATCTTATTGCCAGACTCATCAGTGCATTCAAACCCACGGAAAAATATCTACTAATGGTTTCCAAGGAATGTTGGAACAGCTCCATAGCTTCTCTAATAGATTCATTTTGGGATAAGATATACAGAGTAATTGCCAATACCTCCCTGACAGTTATTCTTGATGACCCGTGTAATCGATGAAGGTCCCGAAGCTCATTAAGCAAGTCAAGAAATATCATTTTGGTCATACGGAATATGTTTGCAAACCTTGTTAAGTGTCCATGTAATAACTCCCTGACCCATTTATCTCCAATCTGACTTGATGTCATACAAGGGGTTCGGTCAACGCATATATGATAGTAGTAGTATAAGAAGATAAGGGCGAGAGCGACTTTGCGGGCGGTTGTTGTTAAGTTGCTCTTCATCCATTCTACAAATATGTAACGAAGACATAAACATAAACATAAACATGATACTACAGTGTGAGAGTTAAACAAAGATATAAACATTAAATGTAATGACACAAACAATGACATAAAGTTAAAAGAACACGTAGAAGCAAATAGTCCATCATAAAAGTATTACAATTACTGGCTCTAAAATAAAAACAGCTATCAACCATAATTAGTCATTCAAAAAAGAGCGTAGATAGGAAAGATGGAATTCTAGGTCCAAATTTGCGAAGAATTGCCTACGAGTGGAATTCCCTAGCAACTTCACATATTTTAAATACGTGGGTTCATCTTCCTTAACACTGGGATATAAATTCAAGATTTTAAGGCACTCATGAATTGAGTAGTTGCTTGTTGTTGGTGTTGGTGGTGGTGCAGCTTTCGGTTTGAAGTATTCAAGAATCGCCTCTATGGAACCTCTGACAAATACGACTCCAACTTTCTTCTTATATGCTCTGGGACGCTTTGTCCCACCGGTTGATTGAACTTCTGTATGGATTTGGCTGGGACCTTCTTCAGAGTCAGCAATGTGCTCGGATGCCATGTCATGAGTTAAACCAACACAGTTTTGGCCAATTGGGTTGAAAGCATAGTTCCAGTGGCGACAACACCTATGAACATGCCATCCAACTTTTCCTCTAATACTGAGTCAATGTCGCTAAGTTTGAATTTTTTGGCTGTCGGCACTACCTGGAATATAAAATATAAATCATTAGCAAAAATCTTTAGAAAGATGCAATCAATCCAAAAAATAAATATAGGTATGTATTTACCTCTAACTTCTGAGCCCACCATTCTTCGGGTGCATCTATTGTTCGCTTAAGTGGATCCTTATCCAATCCTGTTGATCCTCTCTTGTGTTCTTTCCAAATTTTCCAATCATTTTTTAATTGATCCCATTTATTTTTAAGTTTCATCCGATCGTAATCTCTTCCGATCCTTGAATTTAACGGTTACATTATGTCAACCTTCTTTATTGAAAAAAGTGGTCGGCCTATTACCCAACTCAACTTCCCTTAGACAAAAATCACAAAATGTCAACGTGGTCCCTTTATCCCACATCGTCGATGTTCCAGATTCTTTAGATTTACTCATTTTAACTGTGAGATAAATAAGCTAGCATGAAATTAATGATGCTCAATAAATATTATCATGACCTTACCGAAATAATTTGCATTGAATAAATGATAGAGATATAGATATTAGAAAAAATAAATATAAAGACAATTATATCGCATATATGTAAATTCCCAGCAAATAAAATAATGCTATAGAGCCATAATCTCAAATAAAATCTCTTCTTTTGCACAAAATATGTAAAGTTTTTAGGAGAATCAAACATCAAAAGACTTAAAACACTGTATCTTCAATATTGAAATTATCTACAAGTGGTGGCATGCATTTTGATATTTGAGTCACCACATACAAAAATGGTCGCAATGTCACTTAAATGCAAGGTGGTGGCATGCATTTTGATATTTGATGGAATTAGCCAGACATAACGAGATTGGGTTAGAAAAAAAATACTATCATAAATACAAACTGTTGGGATTTTTTCTTTAAGA